AGGAAGTGTGGTGATGTCAAGCAGAGTTAAAATGGCCTTGCAGGCTTTGAAGCTTGATTCTGTTTGAGAGAAGACAGAAAATCTGTGCAAATAACGGATCTGGCGCAGTTAATAAAATGTCACGCGTCATCTTATGTTCAGGAACCAACTAGCTGAGTGTGTCTCTGATAACACTTTGAAATTGTTATCATAGAGATAGTGAACACCTGTCACCTGATCTCGCAGGCTGGTATTAGAGCCTTGTATATAATGTGTTGAAGTCTGAAGTAAATAATATTCTTTCTTTTTAAGGTCAAGACCGAATCCCTGGTGTGATTGGAGTGGGCGTAGCGTTTATTTATTTTATTTAGAAATTCTACGTAGCCGCCCATCTTAAATACATAACTCTCTAAGCAGCGAACAGTTTTACAAAAACAATTGTAAACATACAAGGGAAAAATAAATAACGGAGGCACTTCATAACAATCTGATAAAACACACGTACATCAGGCTCCTCTACCGTCCTGGACTTTACGCTTAGGGGGAAAAAAAACCAAGTTTTAACAGCCTTACAGGGTGCAGGGTCATCTGAATTTCAAAAAAGAAGCTAATTACATAATAGAATAGAATTACATAATAGAATAGAATTACATAATAAAATAGAATTATATAATAGAATAGAATTACATAATAGAATGGAATGGAATGGAAGAATAGAATAGAATAGAATAGAATAGAATAGAATAGAATAGAATAGAATAGAATGGAAACTAATCAAGGAGAGAAGCAACCTGGAACTAAGGAGAAACTTCCTGACAGTGAGAACAACCAATGGAACTACCTGCCTCCAGAAGCGGTGAATGCTCCAACACTGGAAGTTTTTAAGAAGAGACTGGACAGCCACTTGTCTGAAATGGTGTAGGGTTTCCTGCCTGAGCAGGGGGTTGGACTAGATGACCTCCAAGGTCCCTTCCAACTTTATTATTATGAATAGAATAGAATAGAATAGAATAGAATAGAAGCTGGAAGGGACCTTGGAGGTCTTCTAGTCCAGCCCCCTGCTCAAGCAGGAGAACCTATACCATTTTAGACAGGTGAATGTCTAGTCTCTTCTTTAAAATCTCCAGCGATGGAGCGCCCACGATTTCTGGAGGCAACTTCTGTTCCACTGGTTGATTGTCCTCACTGTCAGGAAGTTTCTCTTTAATTCCAGGTTGCTTCTCTCCTTGATCAGTTATCCGTTATATCTCCTTGATATTATATATATATATATCTATATTCCTCTAACATCTTGCGTCTTTGGTCCGCATTTTGCAGGGGACAATAATCTCTGTCCGATGAGTCTACAGAAAGCCAGCAGTGGAGAAGTCAGTCAATTTCCCTAAAAAAATAAAAATAAAAAGAGGGCCTGTTCATGGCCAGAGGTACAGCTTCCCCTTCCAAGCCTCCTTTCTCACACCAGGAACCTGGGACAAGCCATTTGTGTGAGGAAGTTTTCTCTGCAGTCCACCTCTAATCAATGAAGGGATCTGGTGTGAAATTAAATTTGAGAAGTGCAGCTGCGTGGGACGGGCCTAAGAGGGAGAGTTGCACCCTGCGCCAGGAACATCTAAATTAACCCGCTTGATGCACACTACAAAGGGACACATCACGGTCACCGTCTTTCCTTTTTTGCCACCCTCATGGAGGTCTCTCACTCGGCTGCTTCGGGGAAAAAAACCAGTCTTGCAAAAGGAGGAGCTGGGGAGGGGGGGTTGGTTTCTTCCCCAGTGAAGACCTCCACAGTGTGTGGAAGAGCTGTTCCCCAGAGAGGGAAGGCCAAGGAAGGAGGCAGGTGAGGGGCAGTGCTCCCCCTTCAGACAACGGAGGGGGCACTGGCCGGCCCTGTGGAGGGTATGGCTCACCTCAGCTTGACCTCCATGCACCGAAGACAACTTCAGAGACAAAACAAGAATCGGTGCAATCAAAGAAGCAGGAAAACAGGATTTAGCATGAAGAGTCAGGATTCATGACTCAGAATCTACATTGGGGGGAGATGCTGCCTCTTCACGTGCTTCATGCCAAGCCTATGATGACACGGAGGGAAACTCCATCGCTAACCGAAGCATTCCTCAATATCTGGGCAACAGGAGGGCTAATGCAGGGGTCCCCAACCCCCAGTTCGTGGACTGGTACCGGGCCGCAGCATGCCAGCAACCGGTCCGCACAAACAAGCAAAGCCCCATCCGTGGGATGCAGGCAGCACACAAATCCACACACTCTCCGGTCTGTGGAAAAACCTTTCTCCATGGAACCGGTCCCTGGTGCCCAAAATGTTGAGGACCTCTGGGCTAATGAATGCCTAGTCCATCTCACAGTCTGTTTTGGGTCATAAACAATGACCGTCTTACTGTTTCCTGCTCATACAAGCGACCTGTGCCGAAATCTTCTAAATTTCAAGTCATTTTCAAACACAGAACCCCTTGGGTGTCTTGGGGCCAGCTGCTTTCCATCACCCCAACCTACCACAGGGTTGGTGCTGCAGACACGAGGACGAAAGGCTGTTTGTGATGAATGCCAACGAGGGGGACAGAAGGGAACCAACTGTCACACCCGTCAGATGGCTTCTGTCAAATACCTACGAATACATGGTGAGGTCCATGTAATTCCACTTCAATACGGTAGACATCTAATCACTACCAAGTAAATACTTTAACGCTGGTGGACTTCAACGCTCAGTTGAAATCCACAAGTCCAGAAGTCTTAAAGTTGCCAAGGTTGGACCTGTCTACTGTTGTAGACACGGAGGATGGAAGGGTCCAAACGTAATGTTGACATTTTGACTTTAAGACTTGTGGATTTGTGAACTTCCACTCCCAGAATTCCCAGCTGAAGAAGCTTCTTGGATGGGAAGTGAAAGGTCTTCAGAGAAAAACAAAAAAGTCCCGTTGCCTCCTGAAAAAGCACCTTTGGGATAACTATGACCCGGATGACGGAGATGCTCCAGAGACATTTGGCTGACGGGATATTAAGGAGAATCTCTTCTCTAAATGCCAGTCACAGAGGTGGGGACTGGGAACATGGGACAACTCCTGTGTCATGACAGCGTCATGATATCGCCCTGCAGATGACATGCATGACGTCCCTGGAGCGTCTACTGGATCGGAGACAGGCAACGACGTGCCCAAAACAAATTTTATATCGAGCTATTTTTGCTCTGAAGGAGAATTCATTATTTTTTTTTGTCTCTTTGACAGCCAAACTTTTCATCGGCGGTCCTGATCCCAACTGCTGCCCATCCCTTCTCGCCTGCTGGTTTTGTTTGCTTGCTTCAGGATGGGGCATGATGGCAACTTACAGGGGCAACGAAAACAACAACAACAACAACAGCAGCAGCAACTCCAGGTCGGGACGTTCCCAACCCAACTCCCAGCTTGCTATCTTCGCGCCTCACCTGGTTTAGGTTCACCAC